CAGACTTTACTCAATAATAACTCTTTTATTAAGCGTTATAGAAAAAGATGGTACAGGACTTTTCTTTTCAGTTTGACCCAAGCTACCTCCATCTTTCGTTTGGTCACTTACTTGTCGGACACCATCTATACAGAATGTCTCTCAAAATCATCGTACTACATTTGAATATCGTAATGTATAGACGGATTAGAAACAAAATTTTTAATTTAGAAAAATATCGAGACCACACTTTCCAAATAACAAATAATCAAAGTCGAAGGCAATGACATCGCATATAGTTTACACATTCAGATAAATACATATACATGATACGCATACCAATCTATTAATTATTTTTATTATGAAACTGATTTGATTTTTTAGTATCTTTTTTTTGCTTTTGCGATGTTCTGTATAATAACAGCTCTTTTTAATATAAATTATGATTGTAATTTAGTAAATTATGAATTATTAAGACACATAGTAAGTAATAGAGAACTTCTATAAATCATTGTATATCATAACTTAGCTTGCAGTAATAATATCAAGGTGTTGTCTTACCTGAAATAAAATAGCAGTCGTCAAAATACCGAGAAAGAAAATAAATCGAAGTCGATCGAATTTTGATTGTTGATAGGGCCACAAACCTATAATCAGCAAAAGTATTCTGTTAAGATCAAAATATTTTGCCTTGATACACATCATTTCTCCACGAACTCTAGAATATGTATAACTATCAAAAAAATCGACGATGATGCGTTCATCCCCTCTTTTTTCACTCATCGATTAACTATTTTCCGTAAACTCTCTTTTTTAGTGCAAATTTCAAAGCGAATTTAATGTAATGATAGGCAGTACACAAAATACCACCGTGTGATCGAAACGCAATTGAACAAATTTCTCAGTGAGGTATATACATATAATTACACGATCGATACAACGCTTAAGGTTTCGACGTATGTCCTTTTCCCATGAATGGAACCCTTTGCACAAAATAATCCCACGCAGGCGCTATTTCCCCTTTTCGGAGCTGACACTTCATTCTAATACTGGCGCTCGTAGGATACGTTTGGTCTTTGAGAGAAATTTCTACCTCTTCAACTTTAAACATTTCAATGTCGGATCTATCTGGTAAAGCTCATGTCATCTTAAACCGAGTATATTATAATAGATAAATGAACGGTACAAATTTTAAATCAACAATCGGCACAATTAAAATTTATTCGTCGTTGCTAATATTTTGTTCAAGTATGTTTAGTAGAAAATAGTATCATATAATCACATTCTCTACTAAACATACTTTTAGTTAATTGTTTTTTTTTTTTTACTTAAATGATCATATGGATGTTAACGCTAAACAATGAATGATTTGTTTAGAAATAATGTGTCATTATAAATATCATGCACTAAAAATTTCAAAATAGAAGTTAAAATAATTATGTCTGTATTATTATTTTTATTTGAGATATACTGTGTAAAGTATTCACTTCTGATGCACATATAACGCGATAATGTTTTAATTAATTAATTTATTTTATTTTTCCATATTTCTTTTTGCATGAAAAATTTTAGCTACACTTCTACCAGGTATATAAATATAAAACCGGAATTTTTGTATAGAAAATACACGTTTATTGTATGAAAATGATAAAAAATATTTTATTCGAAGTATTGCCCATTGCTAGCTATACATTTTTCCCATCTCTCTGACAATTTGTGGATGCCACGCCAAAAAAACTGTTGCTCCTTTGAGGCAAACCAGTCATTGAGCCATTTTTGTACATTTTCGTAAGAAGTGAAGTGCTGCTCAGCAAGTGCGTGTCCCATCGATGCAAATAAGTAGTAATCGGATGGAGCCAAGTCTGGTGAGTAAGCCGCATGCGAAAGTATTTCCCAACTAAACGCCTCAATCGTTTCCTTGACCGGTTTTGCTGTGTGTGATGGTGCATTATCATGAAGCAAAATCACTTTGTGTTGCCTTTTTTGATATTCTGGTCGTTTTTCACGCAAAGCTTGATTCAAATCGATCATTTGTTGTCGGTAGCGTTCAGTATTAACGGTTTCGCCAGGTTTTAGCAGCTCATAATAGATTTTTGGTGGTCTTCCACGTTTTTCGTTTCTCACGTCAAAATCGCCACTTTTGAATTTTTTAAACCACTCAAAGCACTGTGATTTACCAAGAGTATGCTCACCGTAAGCTTTGACAAGCATTCGATGCGATTCTGCAGCAGTTTTCTTCAAATTGTAACAGAAAATCAATGCTGTCCGCAAATCGTAGTTTCCAGGCACAAAATTCGACATGTTCAACGCTATTAAAAACTATGCTGTTGTATGAAATTTGTATTGTTGTGAGTTGAAAATCTTTATCAGATGTCAAAACAAGAAAATGGCGCCAATGACGCGGTTTGACAGTAACTACATTGACAGCTAGGGCCATCTATGGGCAAATTCCGGTTTCATATTTATATACCTGGTACATGCTGCAAAATAGAAGCTTCTATCTTACTGATACATGAAATATAGCGATATGTTACTTCTTTATTAATTATACTATACATGCATGCTATTATTTGATTTAAACTCGTCATTGTGTAGGATATATAACTATAAAGTAAGAAGACACTGAGGTCTTGATTAACTATAATGAAAGATATTATATTTCATTACACTATCCATTCGTAACATGTGTACGCCACTATAAATTTATATTACGTATCATCTTACAACAAATCTTCTATTATATCAAGATTTTATTAACTCAGGTATTGAGGAGGGTTCCCAAGTCGATGCTGTATTTACTGTTCTTAAAAAAGCTTTTGATAGCTATGGATCATGCTCTATTATTATGTAAATTACATGCTTTTTGTATTAACGGAATCATATTGAAGTGTTTATCGAGCTTTATTACGTACAGATCACAGGTTGTTAAATTCCAGTGCTGTTTCTCCAGAGTTATAAATGCTACTTCAAGGATCGCATTTGGATTCGCTTTTGTATAATTTATTTATAAATAATAATGAAGAAGTTTTCAAGCACTGCAAATGTTTGTTATATGCAAATGATCCAAAAATTTTTTGTTGAATTGACAGCTCTGATGGCGCAGATCTTTTGCAGCTTAATCTTTCTTGTTTAGAGATTTTTGGAGCAATATGAATAATTTACACTTTAACCTATTCAAATGCCACGTGATTCATTTTAGTCGAAAAAGGAAGTCGTACATACATGATTATTTGTTAGGTGGAACTACTCTCTCGGTTACCAATTCTATTCGTGACTTAGGTGTAATATTTTGTGCTGATTTATCCTTTGTAAAATATATTCAGGCTATTACGAGTCGTGCGTTTAAGCTTGGATTTGTTATGCGGTTTTGTAAATATTTTAACAACATTTATACATTAAGATTATTATTTTGCTCGTTAGTTAGACCACAGCTAGAATATACCGCCATTGTTCGGACTCCGTACCAAATTAAATATTGTGCAATGATTGAAAAAATCCAACATCGCTTTCTCCAGAGAGTTAGTTTTCTTATGGAGAATCTAATATATTATTCTGATCCTACATATGATTTTATGTTAAATAAACTCAAGTTTGTAACATTAGAAAGTAGAAAAAGATATTTGGATTTGCTGTTTCTTTATAAATTGATTTAATGAGCGTATTATTTGCCCGGACTTATTGGATCGCGCAAAGTTGCATATTTCAGCCAGGCCTCTTAGAAATAATTTAATTTTTTATGAGAAAGTACATCGTACTTCCTACCGCAAATTCGAATCTCTGAATCGACTATGTTTACTGACTTATGAATTCTCCGATCGCGTGGATTTCTTGCAAATATTTCTTTGCTCTTTTAAACGATCATTAATTTTGTCAAACGATCATTAATTCTTTGATAGATTTTCTTTATTCTATTTTGTCTTACTTTATTTTATTTTATTTTATTTTTTTATGTTTTCTTGTAACTTGTTATGTCTGTCTTTTCTCATCTATTCTTTCAGCATCTCATTCTGAGTTTTTTGTTGATGTTGAAATTGTAATTACATTTTTCTTTTTTGTACTAAAGGGACTTCTTTCCCGTTTATAAATAAATTAATTAATTAATTAATCAAATCTTTTTATTTAGTATAATAACTAATTTGGTATAATAGCTAATCTTATGCATCTTCTTTAAGAATAATCATCTTTCTTAGCTTTACATATGTAAGACATTTAAATTATCAACTTATATCTAATGGTAATATCTAATGGTAATATGATAATTATTGTAGGATTTGGCAATACTAAATTATCAACTTATATCTAATGGTAATGTGATTGTTATTGAAGGATTTGGCCATACTAATATTAACATCATATAAACTATTTATTTAAAAGTAATGTGACAATACATATATTGTAAATATTGAAAATAAAACTTGAAACTAATTTAAGTAATGTGATATAAATGTTTTATATTTAAAATAAAAAATACTCAGTTTTTGATGAAATCAAAATTTATGTAATTTAAATAATATATTGCTATAGCCCGAAAAGGCTATAAACATATCATTATTATTTTAATTGTTAATAATTATTTACATTAACGGACACTTTGTTGATGACCTTGACCTTCATATATGTTATGAAAGTGAGGTTGCTGATTAATGTTTACTTTGTTTTATTTGGCGGTGTCGTTTAGTTTTTGAGATATTTAACGAAAAAGTTTACTGAATAAAACGTTATTTTTTGATACCATATTCATTTAATAGAGAATATTAAATATGTATTTAATAATCACATATATCTACACACAAACTATTAGATATTTGTTTACAATGTATTTCAAGCATCTATATTATTCAGTAAGATCATCTTTTGATATTATGTCGAAATTATATTTGCTCTATCAAAATAATTTTAAAATATATTATTATATCTAAAAAGATATTTGTTTTAATACATGTATTTCTTATTTTTAAGTAATTAAATATGCAGAATGATAAAAATTTCAAATAGAGGGTTGGAGAATTTGATTTTTTGTCAAAATTATAAAGATACAAGAAGTTATGACCTTTATGCGTGGGCGGAGAGAGGGGCAGAACTCCGCCCTATAATTAATATATTAAAGAAAACAACCACAAGATGGACAGTTGAAATTATTAAATAGTAAAGAGCGTCACAACAATCATCATAGTTAATTTCGCAACGACGAACGCAATACCAGGCACACGCACGCGGTGTCACTCGATACCGCGATAAGCGAAACAGTTGGAAAAGCAAGAAAGGAAAGAAGATTTAAAACAAATATCTTCAAATAAATATATTTATTTCTAATAATGCTACAAGATTACTTTAATCGGCGAAACCCTCCTTGGCGGATCCCGAACATCCCAGTTCTAATTTAGCCAACGATCCCATATACCTCCGTGCCTCATCCGCGGTACAACAAAATGTGTATATCTTTCTTTCTCTCTTCCTGATTGAATATATTTATATTTCTGGATATTTTTCTTATGTCTGTTTAGGTACAAACTGTGGCAATAATATTTAACTACTTTTAACTTTTTTAAATGTAATATAAAAAAAATTGTAATATTGAGGTTTTGTTAAATTTTTACCAGATTATATTTTACTCGATAGAATTTCTCTTCTTACCTTATTATTGCGTTGAATATATGACAGTAAAATATGAGACCGAAGCTTTTACCAGCTGTAATGTTTAATTATAATATATTGAATATTCTGAGATATATATATTTATTTCCTTACCGTTGCAAAACTCTCTAATGATGCGATATATAATCCACCGACATCTATAGTAAAGTCTTTAGCGTTTCTTAGCAACAGAAACAGTATTAGTTTCTGTACATATAACGGAGCAATGTACCACTGAACGTTATACCTACGAAATTAGTGTAAACAAAAAATTCGTAATTTTAGAAAGATAGGTCAATAATTCTTTGATACACATATACATATACATATACACATATACATTACTCGCGTATATAAACGATATCATCTCTTTTACAAACTACTATATTTTATTTTAATGTAAAATATTATATAGCTAACTATCCTATACAGGGTGAAAGAATTAGACCAACAAACTTCAGGTAGTTATAAAGGATACCAAAGCAAGCTAATTTTGTCAATAAACCCACAAATGAATCGTTTTGGCACTAGAGAATCAGAGAATAATAAGAGCAATAATCTTTGAAAAAAGTTATTTTTTCAAAATTATATTAATGTGGTTATATAGAAGTGTGTTTAACATGTAACTTTTATATAAAACATTTTTTTATATCCAGAATAATTTTCGAGATATATCGAAAAAAGCAAAAAGCCGCTCTCATATGAGGATTTATTTCATTCCTTAGAATTATTTTTGGACAAAAACGCAACTGGAAATTTCTAGATTCATCTATTTACATCACCTACATGTTTGAAAATTTTCATCAAAATCAGAATTTTCTGGTTTGTGTAGTTCCCTTGTTAGTCTTTGATTTATTGCCAGAATGGCTCATTTGCGGACACGGGTTTATTGACAAAATTGGCTTGTTTTGGTGTCCTTTATAACCACGTGAAGTTTGTCGATCTAAAGACCCTCACACACAAATTGACATAGCTGCATATGTATAGCATAAAACCGTCTAGACCAATAAATACCAAAATAAAATTGCCATACTGATTTACATAGCATGCTCATTGGTCCAGATGGTCTTATGCTATGCATATGCAGCTATGTCAATTTGTGTGTGAGAGCCTTAATTCTGGGACATTTTATAATAGTATAATTGTATTTTATAAAATTATATCTTACACGGTAACAAATACATGATTATTATGATCTGTTATATATTGCCCGAGATAGTTGGCGCAGAACATATATAAAATACTGGCAAATACAACTACAGAGGGAATTAAAATTTCATCGACATTATCTCCGTTCAATGGAATCTGAAAAATCTAAAATACAAATTTTATAGCTGTGTATAACCATGTTTTCTAAATATAGTTTCTTAATCATTCAACGATATAGACATACTAACTATAAGTTTCTAAATTAATTTAAGTAAAAATTATAATAAAATACATAAAGAAATATTTTTCATTTTATGTAATTTTTATTTAAAATTATTTTTAATATATTAATTATCTACTTTATTTACATTATTTTATACACAGTATTAGTTAATCAAAAATATTAGAGTAAAAAAGAAAAAAAAAGTGTAATGAGAAACGTGAGGTATATCTCTTCTGTATCTCATACTATCATACATACTTATATTAGAGAATATTAAGTGTTCGCTCAAAAGAATATTTAAGAATCTAATTTGAAACATACCTGAAAGAGATTAAGGCTCAGTAATATTACCCCTATTGCTATTAAACAGAACAACATTGCTTCAAATTTGGAGGTCAAAGTTTTGGATAATCTTCAAAAACAACAAATTTTACTATACGTATTTTACGCAAATTATCGAGTTGATACTAACTCCATAGCTTGCCGATGTATATCTACAGCACATCTTATTTCTTCTAACATCAATGTATCGTTTTTTGTACTAATATTTTGTAACACAATGGCTCTCATTGCGTGTTTAATGCGATAACTGTGAATAATACGTTTAACAAGAAGCATATTTATTAAATTATACAAAATAATTTTGCAGATATAAATTCTCTATATTCAAAACTGTTATTTATTCATACAGAATTACAGTTTTGTTTTATACCTAGAGATTTTAAACAGTCCACAAATATGTTCAAGATATGCTATAAGCATTGTTCCGGTTGACAACAGTACACCCGATCCTACGCAAATCGCTGCATCTAAATGCAAGAGAATTAAAGAAAAATATTTTTCTTGATCGACGAAATACTCTGCCATAACTGGCAGGCGATGTGCTTGAGATACGTTTATCGGTAAAATAATACCAATTACATTCGACCAAAATTGTGCGACAATAAGAGCACATATACTACATATACAAAATGCTAGAAGTATTAGAAAGTAATTATCATTTAAACTTCTGTTGCAAAATATTCCAAAATTTTATATGCACGTGATATAATACTTTCTTACCTGTAAGCACAATTGTATGACGTTTTGCATTACAGTTATATTTTTCAACGATAGCGTTTTCACATTCATCTTTTAATTGATCGTACACATATTGAAGTTGTGTCAATAAATCTTTCATCTGTTAATCCAACAATTTGTTATACTGTTTTTGTATGTCAAAAAGAATTACTAATTATAAAAATTTAATTATCAGAAAAACCTCTTAAGGGGGGTGTCTACATCGTTAGCATTGAAAAATAAGCAATTTTTCGAAATTTTTAGAAATGGAACTAATAAGGATAGAATGATAAACTTTTGTATCCAGAAAAATATATCTTTATTAAATAACAAAAAAAAATCGCCATGGTATTTGGAGCTGTGGGGGGGCCGAGGGGGCGGATTAAGTAGCCCAGTGAGATCAGTGCGGTGGAATTTCCAGAAACTCCAAAAATTATCTGAAACAAAAAAATCAAACAGTTTTATAATCTGTAGATGTTTGCGCATAAAGTAGACTGGAATAAAAAAAAATATAAAAAAATTTGGGTAAGTTATGATTACTCAAAGAAAGTAAAATTCTTTCCACAAAAAATGACTGCCTTTGAATAATCATAACTCGCTCAAAATTTTATATATTTTTTTTTATTCTAGTTTATTTTATGCGCAAACATCTACAGATTATAAAATTGGTCGATTTTTTTATTTCAGATAATTTTTGGAGGCTCTGGAAGTTGCACCGTCACTCATCCCACCGGGCTGCTTGATTCGCCCCCTCGGCCCCCTCAAAGCTCCAAATAAAATGGCGATTTTTTTTTATTTAATAAAGGTATATTTTTGTGGATACCAAAGTTTATCATTCTATTTTTATTAATTCCTTTCCTAAAAATTTCGAAAAATTGCCAATTTTTAAATGCTAACAAAATAGAAACGCCCCTTAATGGACATTATAAATGGAAATTATACCGTTAACTTACAGTTTCGATATTAATGGCGAAAAAGATGTACTGTATCACAAAAATTGTAAAAATGAGCGAGTTAGATAAAATCTTGATGACGAAGTTAGCTGTGCATTTAGAATTAAGAAACGTAGTAAACTGCAAACAATATCTCTTTTTAAATATTTGCATTAAAGAATTTATTTCTAGCTATTAATAACTTGTAATTTTTATACAGAGGATTGTCTGACCACTAATCACATGAGTTCCGGGTTCATTAGGGTCTATAGTAGAATTTCGTCTTAAGTGTTCTCAGAAAAAAATATATGTTAAATATTCATTCTATATCATTTCTTTTAATATTGGTTTTTGCATATTATTAAGTGTGTGACAAAAAAGAATAGAAATAAAAGAAAAATAAATGATATTCTGTTTTAAAGAATAAGGCACACAAAGCATATTTCTTTTATATGGTATATAAACATTATAGGTATGTTTTATATCTTAGGTATATCAGGTCTACCGGAAAGTTCTGTCCGTTTTTGGAATAAAACAAAATACAAATTTTTATTACCGTCAATAAATTTTATTAAATAATGTAATTGCCATTATTCGGAGAAGTATTGTCAGCAACTGGATAATTTAAATACAGCAGTCCAAGAAAAGAGGTTTGCTGACAATACTTCTCCGAATAATGGCAATTACATTATTTAATAAAGTTTATTGACGGTAATAAAAATTTGTATTCTGTTTTATTCCAAAAACGGACAGAACTTTCCGGTAGACCTAATATATTATATGTTTGCTTAACCTAACTATATTAATTATCGTTTGGGATTTTGTGAAAATATATCCAAATGGATTCTAAATTATAGTAATTATCTTTTTATGCATAATTACGTTACATGAAAATATTTTCTAATTACAATTATATACAAGATGTCTCTCAAAATTGCTATATTCAAATAACGTAGATGGACAGATAAATAGACGGATTAGAAAAGAAGCTTTTAATATAAAAAAATATCAAGGCCACAATTTTCAAATAACAAATAATCAAAGTCGGAAACGATGATATCGCATACAGTTTACACATTCAGATAATTACATATACATGATATGTATGCCAATCTGTTAATTATTCTTATTATTAAACTGATTTGATCTTTTGGTATTTTTTGTTTTTGTTTTCGCGATGTCTTGTATAATAACTGCACTTTTTAATATAAAGTATAATTGCAATTTAGTAAATTATGAATTATTGAAACATATAATAAATAATAGAGAACTTCTATAAATCATTGTATATCATAACTTAGCTTGCAGTAATAATATCAAGGTGTTGTCTTACCTGAAATAAAAAAATTATTAGAAAAACAAAAATAAATTAATAAAAAAAACAATAAAAAACAATAGAAGTAAAAAAACATTTTTTTTTTTTAAAATCCCTCCCGACTGCTGCCAACAAAAGCCCCACATTTAATTAATAAAATAATAGACAAATTAATAAAATAATAGACAAAAAAAACAATATAAAAAAAAATAGAAATAAAAAGAATTATATAAAAATAATATAACAAAAATAAATTAATAAAAAAAAATAATAAAAAAAAATTAATAAAAAAAAATAATAAAAAAAATTATTAGAAAAACAAAAATAAATTAATAAAAAAAACAATAAAAA